AGTGGCACCACCAGTTATTTTGGTCAAAGGTAGCCTGAAACTGCGGCACCTGCCAAAATAGTGTTGGATATGGCAGATTTGGTGTGTGTGTGTGTGGCGGTAAATAGAGACTTACACACAGCTGAAGGTACAAGGATGTTCTTAAAGTCTTTGGGTGGTCCAACCTCTCAGGGAGCTCGAGCCTACTCTTTGCGAGTGCCGCCACTGAACACTGGTCATTATTAACAGACAAACCAGCCCCACCAGCCTGGGATTACCTTCCAGCCAACTGCAGATGTGAACGCCTAAACATTTCTGCTACTTTGTTTTGACATGCTCTATTATAGGTTCTGCATCCTACAGCAGATCCAGAAAAAAAATTGACAGCTAAATGAAATCATTCATTTTCTGGTCTGATGTCATCCAAAAATTGCCATAATTGCCCAGGCCTGGCGTCTCTGGTCTGTGACTGGCAAAGACACCAGTGCTGGGCGAGGTGCACGGAGAGGAAAGCAGACTGTTGGATGTTCCCTGTTGGATCTGTGGTGACTCTTTGTCTATTTAAACTCAAGTGCAGTTATACTCTGCACTTTCTTCCATCTGCTCGAAAACTGACATCTCACTTGGGTGGGTGGGGGTTCCAACGTGTACCTAAGCCTAAGGGATGTAATCTCTCCAGTGTGTCCTGCATCTGCTCCAGGGCGAAAAACCCCCCATCCCTAAACGCAGTCAGTAACAACTCCACAACTGGAAGACTAAGCTGAACAACACAGGGCCCTATGGATAAGAATAACTCTCCTCACCTGGCCACAGTTTTCATTTTTGCTTCCACCACATTGAAAACTGTACATTAGAAGCTTGATTAAAGGCTCACAACAACAAACCAGAAACCACTTTTGGTAAATATTGTCAGATTTAACCCAGAACAAAATTTCCCTCATATCAAATTTTGAAATACAGATCTATTTAGAATATATAAGTACGTTGATGAGAAGAAAGGGTGCATTTACTGGGTTTTGGAGAAAAATGTCTTCTTTTGAACAACACAATGTTCTTTTTTTGCGTAAGACATGAAAATATGGCAGACATAACGATTTCATTATATTTTATTAAGAGGGGAAATGAAAAGCACATTCTGGAGCTGCTGGCATTTATTATATGACCACATATAACCACTAAAGCCATTTAACACTATCCTCATTCATGTATCATAATTGTTAATTTAATATTCATCAACACTTAGAGCGCAAACAATACCCATTCCAGGCTAGTCTGTGCATTCAAAGCACTGATAGGAAATGTTGCTCGTGTGGGATTTGCATGTTTCCAGCACTCACTGAAATGGCAGCACAGGTGCCGTTATAATATTAGGACTTCTCTAACCATTCCTTTGATCTCATTTTTTATTCTCAGTTGGATCAGAATAAATAAACAATTAAATAACAAATAATTTGTTCATTGTTAGAATATTTTCTTGCACAGTGGATTCTTGTACTTGTAATGTATTTGCATTTATAGAGCATCATTTTAGTCCTACCGACTACTCAAAGCACTTTTAACTGCAAGTTACTTTTTAATCATACATTCATGCAGCAGCACCTCACAGGTGTGGCAGTTAACCTGACACATTGCTCCAGACTGTGGGGGAAGCCCACATACCTGTAGGAAACCCACTCCAGGCACTCTAGCATGCGTTAAACTTGGAAATTCCACACAGAAAGGTCCCACTCATAATTTGTTACGCAGTGCCACCATGCCACCCTTTTTCAGATGTCATGTTTCTTATGTGTGCCATAAACCATCGCTCCTGTGCTGTTTTACTGTTAAGCTGTTTGGATATTCACCCATGATCCTTTAAAGAGCAGCAGGTGCCTGTGTCTGTGGGAACCTGGG